TCTCTAAAGATGCTTAAGAGGTAATATCACAATGGAAGCCAATGATGATTTTGTGGGTGGATTCGGGATGCAGCCCACGCAGCCGTCGGACAATAGGCGCAGGATGCACGAGGTCCAGCTGCAGCTATGATGCAGCCAACGAATGACAAGTGAGTGGCATCATCAGCCATTGCACTGGTTCATCAGATGAGCGGTACATTTTAAACGTGCCCAGCAACGTTTGCAGTGCTGCTGGTGATAAGGCCACCAAAGCGTTTGAGGAATTCCTGGCCGTCAGTGGAATGAAATATGACGACTTTGCCGAGTTCTATGGCAACTTGGCAACATAGGACTTCACCATCGCGACCACGCTCCTCATGCCATGGCTGCACATCTGGGCAGCACCAAACCCAAGCAACAACCCAAGGTATGATGTTGTCTCATGAGAAGTAGTAAAATTGGGCTTGCATGCTAGACATTGCAACTGCTTGCTTGCATGATCTGCGGGACTCAAATGAGGGGGTTGCAACCCCATATGGTAAACTTGCTTCAGCAGGCATGTGTACAGAAGCGAGAAACGGGAGCTGCAGACGGCATCATCCACCAAAGCTCTGCCTACGATGAAGAAAGGTGACATAAGCATGATGCCGCTCTGCCTGAGATATGGGTGCCGGTTTGGAAGCCGTTGAGGATGGAGGCGTATGTTGGCTACTGGCTCATATCACTAAGCATGACACATGAATAGTGACCACTGGTGAGTTGTTCTCTGGAGGAAATCATGATGTAACAGGTTGATTAAGGCAACTACCCAGGTTCAAACAGGAAAAAGCCGTTGAGCAAGCATGTTGGTTACTAGGTCATACACGGAGCTAAGACTTGGGATTGGTGAGATGTTCTCTGGGGAAGTCATGATAGAACGGGTTGGTATAGGCTAGTATCCTAGTTCCGACCTGAGTTCGGTCCCCGGGCATGCTTTTTCTGCTTGGGAGGTGATAGCTGTGACTACAGGTATCTACACAGTCGCGTCCATCACTCTGAGATTGACAGATGGTTGGGGATCCCCTGATTTTGAGGGGGGGATGATTGTCATTCATGTGCAAGCAAACAAGGGCAACTGCAGTTTTTTTGGATTTTGTGTCAAATTACCTCTTGCTGCATATATTCTGTATGGAGTCTCCTATACAGGGTTTGGCGTATTTAACTTATGATGGGCATGTTTGTCTGTCTACAGGGCCCACCCAGCAACCTGCAGCTGCTGTGGACAACACCACATGCTTTCCCCACCACACATCAGCACGCAGAGTCAGTGGAAGATTAAAGCAGTAGTAAGGTGTGTGGCAAAAAACTGCATTCTAAGTTCCACATCACAGTCATTGCAGTTCATGATGGTCTGACAAAGGTGCTACTGTATGCCCCTGCCTGATCTTTGCTGCATACAGGCTCACAAGCTGCTTGTGGAGGACTGCTGCTGCAGCAATGTCTTGTAGTGTTAACTAACGGCGATAGAGGACTAATACTAGGCATGACTACCAGAAGGTGTTAGGGTGGATAGTGCATGTGACCTATGATGTAGCATGTTTTGAGGCAAATTTTGTTGAGAGATGGATGAGCTGCAGCTGGGTGCACCCAATATGAAACTGTTTGGAGATGTTTCGAAGCTTCTGCTGCAGCAGCTGCTGCATACAGGCTCACA